GGGGGGGGGGGGATGGTTGACATTTTGCTGCATGGTAGCACACTATAATGAAAGGACTGAACGAGGGAATTGCAGTGACAAATGAAGGAGGTCCAGTTTAGCAGGCATATGTAAATAATTAGACACCAAAGTATCCAGTATACTAGTCCTTGCTCATAGCATCAGTAATCAAAAATGCAAAAGATAAAAAATCCTTTTGAAAATCAAACTACTCTTTTCCAAATAGCAATGATTCCTTATGACACAGACGATGGAAACACTCAAAAATATGGAACTCTCAAAACAAGCATCCTGCCTTTTCGGTCGAGATTTGAGTTCCAAATGAACACATGACTGCTAATCAATTGCATACCAAACTACACTCAAACCATTTTCAAGTCATTGAGAATTAACCAAAAAGCCAAAAGCCAAATGAAGCTTACTCTCATACTCCACCAAATGCAATGCTGAATGTGAAGGTTCCTGGAACAGCATTAGAACCCAAACAATCACTAAATCACAACTGACGTGATACTAAGCATAAGTGCAAAATACAGTAAAATGAATATCCCACTACCAACACTTCTGCAGTCAATTCTTGATAAGGCTGACTTGAACTAGCCTCCTTCCTGCGTTTCAAAAACAAAATAGCAACTCACCACTCCAAATTGCACTAAAATTATCAAATACCTTCTTCTTCTTTTCACTTCAATGAGATGGGGTGTGCCAGAACTAGGTTGTAGCGTAACGCCAAGGCAATGTACCAAGGTCCCAGTAGCTAGCTATGTTAATGTGCCTTTTTGAGGATTGATATACTCCTTCTGTCCGAATTTATGTAATACTCTTTCTTTTTTGGTCTGTCCCAAAACCTTTCTATATTTAGAAACAATTTAACTTTAAAAGTTCCCACAAATTTCTATGGCTTGTTAAACTACATAAATTATGAAGGGACGGAGGGAACACTAAACTCCATGACTAGTCAAACTGCATCACATAAAATTGGACAAATGGAGTATTAAACTGATAAGAACATATACTAGCCAAAAGACCGGGAAAGGTTTATAAATTACTCTCATTGTTACAGTTTATGTGACACACTTTACTTATTAGTCCACTCCAAAATGATGATATATTTCTATATTCGGCAACAATTTAACTTTAAACTTTCTACTTTACCTATTTTACGAGAAGTTTTTATAGTTAAACAAATATATTATACCCCACGAAGCTTTTAGCACAGAAGTCATTTTTTCCCTTAAACTACGACACATAAATTGAAATGGAGGAAGTATCAAGTAATTTTAAGATTAATTAAAATAAAGTCACCTCCTTTTTTTAATATAATCCAGGTGAGACAGAGGGACGTCATTATCTTCCACTTCCTTGTGCTGGTGCACCTTAGATTTCCGTTCCCGGCGAAGTTTCCGGTGGACGGTTTTCTCCTCAACGGAATTCGACTCGACCGGAGGAGGAATGTTACCGGTAACAACATTATAAGCTGGAAAAGAGGGAGGAAAAAACGAATTAAACTGAAGAAAATACAAAACCCTAGAAATTAAATAAGAAATGAAACCTTGAAGATTTTGAAGAGCAGAATTGAGATTGAAGTCTTTGTTGTAAGCATAGGAAGGATTCTTGTAGAAGTTGCTCCTCGTCGCCATTTACTTTAAATTTTCTTTTTTTCTTTTTTTAGTGGCAACAAATACTTTCCCAATACAAAAAAGAATCGTGCACTAGGATTATGATTCCATCTAAAAAAGTTTTATCCGGGCTAGTTTATGTGCAACCGACTAATTTCACCATATATCCAGCCACGTGCAAAGGGTAATAACTTGAATACATGGGAAGAATTTAGTATTTTTGTTGGGATTTCAATTTCTTCTTCTTTTGGTGTAAAAAGACTACTTATATTATAGGGATTAAGGTGGAATTATAGTCCTAGGGTGGCGACCTCGTGTTGGGTCGTGACAAGAGGAGAAAAACTAGTGCTAGTGGTTCCCAATCCATATCTTGGGGAGGAAGAGTTGGAGGGTGGAAGAGTTGATGGTGCCACTCTTCTAACAAAAGGTTTCCGTCTTCCAAAGCTTTACAAATAAAAAATGATGGGTGTCCAAAAACAATAATGCCTGTCGAGCTCATTATGGATATTTAACTTTTGATATAAATTTTGTAGTGAGTGTAAGAGTATTGACTCTTAATGCATATATTTTCCCAGAAAGTAATACATGGTTAATTAATTTTAATAAATATAAAAATTTAGAGTTGTGAAAAAACGGAAAACAGAAAAATAATTCAATATTGTAGAACTAGTACCCGTAAAGAAAAGTCACAAAATAGTTGGTCATTTGATCTAGATTTTTCAAAAGCCAATTTCTAGTGATGTTAGAGGCGCATACAAGAAAAGTCAATTGAGCAAGATGTGGACTGAAAAGTCAACTCATTCCCTCACACAAGACAGGAGTTTGTTGCAGGGGTGGGTAGGCTTCCTTCAAAGGAGTAAAAAGACAATAAGATCGAACACACACCTTGTATTGTTTGTATACTATTGAGTATTGACTAATAAGCTTAGAACTTTTTCTCTTTTTTCTTTTCTATTCTTTTTTTTACGGAAAAACTCATATTGCATGGGATCGGTAAAAATAGAACTCACGTGAGATTAAAAGCACAGGCATGGGCAAAGCTAGGGTGGCGAAAAGAGTTCATCCGAACTCTCTTCACCGGAAATTATACCATATATGTAAGGTTTAAAATATTTTTTATAAATATTTAATCCTCTTAACTTCTTGATGTATTTATTTTTTAGGGACGTTAGCTTGGTTGCATAGTGGGTGGGGAATAATTTCTATTTTATAATAATACCTTAAAACAATTAGAAGGTGGCGTAGTGAATCTGGAGAAAACTATTTTTCTATATAAACATAAAAAATTCTAAACATGCGCTTGACTTTTAACAGATACTCTTTCCCTTTCAAGTCAGACGATTGTAAAAATTTTGTGAGGCTAAGGTATTCGTAAAGACAATAATAGAAAATATAACAGTGATTATCACTCCAGTAGCTAATGCCAATCGTATCCCGCCAGCTTTCAAGTAAAAAATCATGTCAAAGTCCCTCATCCATCTTGCTGACTTTTGCAGCAGCCTTTAACGCGTGAAATCATCAATGACCAAAGAATGATACTGAAGTTGTTTACCAGATCCAGAAATAGTAAATCTTTGGAAAACACTGGAAATAGCTTGAAAGATAGTCAGACAATCAAATAGATATGGTTGCATCCAAAACAGCATCCTAGACAAACACCAAGAGGTAGAAACACCCACAAGAACTCCTCAGAATAGCATACAAAAGCTCCACCACTGATAAAGATTTCAGCTTTACATTAAGAGATAACTAGAGAAGAAGTGAAACGAGATGGGGAAGATTGGTTGCACCATAGATGGCAACCTAGATGACTCAAAATTCAGCGAGCCAATGCCATGGATCGGTATCTATGTTGCAGGAGCATCTGCAGTTTGTGCGCTGGCTATGGCAATGGATGTCCTTCATGGCCTGCGCCATAGAAAATTCTGGTTTCCTTGCAACTACTTCTCTCTCAATGCTACAACCTTGACACTTCTAGCTGTCGCCACCAAGTTGTCTGTTGATCTAAATACCTCCATGCCTCGTCGCCAAGATCAGCTGACAAAACTTAGCAGTGCTACTCTAATCTGCACGGTAATTTCTAATTTTATGCCTTCTTTAGGACTCATGGAGAACAAAGAGCTGTTGATGAACATAATGGCTTTGGGTATTTTCGTCATCACAGCCATTGTGAACATTGGTATACAATTAGCTACANTGTGGCAATACCAACTACAAAGTGTTACTTGGACCTGAAATATAACAAGAAATACAAGTTAGCAAACAAAGAATGCGGCATCACCTATAAATGCACAACTGAGAAACTGAAGGATGAGCTGATGAAATTCTGGACCATGGCCTATACCTCTAGCCCCCACTTCGTGGCGGGGCGCTTAGCAACATGCACTGCATCTGGAGGTTTCTGCCTTCTGAGCACAGTAATTTATGCTGAAGCCATGCTTAGGTCTTACTTTCTTCATTGGAGCTTCAACTTTTGTAATGGAGACTCTGAATACAAGTGGTCCACAACCTTGATTCTTGTAACTCAGACTGTGGCAATAGGAGTAGGAACAATTGCACCAGCTTTTAGATGGTTCGTAGCCATAAATTACAACTGCCCCAAAAAAACAAATAATGCCTGCAAAGCCAAGTTGTTCAAACTGGAGAACTACTGGATCCGCATCCTGCTTCAATGGAAAGAATCCCCGTTGGAATTCAGAATTTGTGGCCGGCATGGTAGAAAATTTGCTCATAAAACAAAGAACAGACTTCTAGATTTCTGTATTTGGATGCAAATTATGATGGTGTCACTCAGTAAGCTAGTTCGGCTCATTTCCACTTTCTCTGTAAGTTGGTTATTGATAAGCTGTCGGAAAGCAATCAGGATGCTGAAATGCAACAATATGGTGTCAGAGTCATGATATAGAGTCGCAAGTTAGTCTAAAGCCAGATCTTAGCCACTATGTTTTACACCTTGAAGGAGAGGAAGCATTAATTGATTTGATGATGCAAAGCAACCATGATGTGGTAGGTCACTGGATCGGGATGGGGAAAAAGGAGCAGCCTAAACATCTTATACAACTTCTGGAGAAGGTGAAGTCACCAGGATTCAGGGGAGTGTATGAATTTGACCATGCTCAAATTCCTTCTTTAGATTCAGAAGAACCTCCTAATTGCTGGGCTCTTCCCGTAGTGACGCTGACAAGCATCGCAATTGCACTTCCAGACATTGTTGTTGGGAATAAACCCCTTACCAAAATAATATTCACGGTAATAAAGCGGAATAATAATGTAGCACCGAGATACGGTAATTAACAAGAATAAAAGAGTAACAATGACACCAAAATTTTTACGTGGAAAACCCTTCTGAATAAGGGAAAAAACCACGACCCCGAGAGGAGCAACTGATATCACTATAGTAAGGAATTTTACAACTTTGTAGGTCGGAGGTAAATACTCCAAAGACCACTACAACACTCAAAAGAAATAACCCTCTTTTGATATTCCCACCTCACTACAATATCGCTCACTCTCTATTTTCCTCACAGACTATTTTCTTATACCTTGTCTGTGAAACCTTACTCTTTCTTTCTCTCTTTGTTGGTGTGTAGAAATGAGAGTTGAAGCTCTCCTTTTATAGCCAAAGCTTCACCCTCTAAAGCCTACAATATTTGACAATTTACACACACTTTTCACAATTCAACAAAGTTGGCTACCAAACCAAAGAAATTCAACAAGGTTGGCTACCAAACCAAACTAATTCAACAAGGTTGGCTACCAACCAAACCAAGTCAACAAGGTTGGCTACCAAACCAAAGAAAACTCTTATTAGGCACATGCCTAATACTTCTTCAATGAGATGGACATCATCATGATCTCCACTCAATCAAGGAATTAATAAGGTGTGTGTATGACAGTCTCATGTACATCAAAGTTGTGGAAGAGAACCTGGATGCTGGAAAAGACCTAGTATACATCAGGAAGGCGGCAGAGTTGGTGTGGGTAGGAGTTGACTTATGTTACAAGTGGCTGGATGTCGATCTCCGCACAACAGCCACTGAAAGACAAAATCCAAACGACGTGCTTGAAGGACTCTCTGAGAAAGCAAAGCAAAGATTCGTCGAATTTGGAAAGAAAGATTCGAATGCTTGTTTAAAGGAATCACCCTCAAGATGGCCTACCAATATGTTGGCAGCAAACTGTATGTACAGAGTATGTCAAACTCTTTTGCAAAGTTCTGATAGGAAAGAGTTAGAGAACAGCAAAATCATGTTTGACAGATTGTCAACCATGATCGTGGATATAACAGGTGCTTGTCTTACCAACCTACAAAGAGTTATAACCCTGCAATGCCACCATAGCACTATTGAAGAGAGAGCAAAAGGTGTTCGCTCTGCCGTCTTACTTCTGGGGAAAACAGAGAGTATTCTAGAAATTCTTCGTTCACAGCCACTTCCAAGTTCAGCACCAGATCAATTGGCAAAAATTGACCATTGGCGTACACATAGCAAAGAGGTAGACTACCTCTCCTGCAGTAGTAATTCCACCTCAAATGATACTCCAACTTCCCAAAGTTCATCTGACTTATATCTAACAGTGGACTAAGAAGCAAACGCCTGAAAGTGGAAAAAGAAAAAAGACACAGCTTGAGTCCCATTATAATTTTGAGCAGGTGGAAGATGAGGAAGAAGCAAAAACAGATTTGGAAGACTCTGGATATGGTTAGAGATAAGTGTTTCAAGGAAAAGAGGACACTGTTACTTTTGACAAATATAGACGTACCCAGAACTTGAAATTTTGGTGTAAGGCTTCTTTTGTAAATTTATGATATTGATATGATGCTAGATTTCATGTAATCCTTACAGTGATAAAGGATTCATGTCCAGCAAGCTTTTGTATTATACTCTCAGTACAATCTTGATACAGATGTTTTGATGAATAAATTTACTTATTTCTTTCTTATCAAAACAAAGAAAAGTATGCCTTCACATGTCTGTTGACAACACCATAAAGAATTTTGTTTTTGCACTCTTGTACTGTTTGGTGCGCTAATTGTGATAATACTGATGTGCGCTAATGTTGTGGGCTAGTCTTGTTAGTTATTAGTTTGGGTTATATTCTGTAACTGGGCCTGACCCAATTTGGATTTATGTTTTTCTATTTTAGTTAGGATAAGCGGGTCATTTTTGTACAGAGAAGAACAAAGGTCTTCTTCTAGAACATTTCATTCTCTCTAGTAGATAACTGTAAAATTCAGCCATGGTTGCTCAAATTCAAGCTTGAGTTTGCATTTCTAACATAGTATCAGAGCGGGAAGCATTAATTCTGGTCCTTCAATCCTTTTTCGATGCTAAGCTCGTAATCCTTCATTCGAATCTTCTTAACTTCACACCTAAGATCGTTTTTTTGTTTTTCCTTCAAATTCATTCTCCCGTCTCTCGATTTGAGGTTCGAACATCCTGGTTTCTTCATAAATTGTGAGATTTTTCGTCAAATTGTGAGAATCTCTG